GACATCCTTTTATATATTTGAACATGGCTATCATATCACCCCTTAACCTCCTCTTCTCCAGGCTAAACATGCCCAGCTCCCTTAGCCCTTCCTCATAAGGCATCGTTTCCAGGCCTTTGACCATTTTGGTTGCCCTCCTCTGGACACGTTCCAGTTTGTCAGTGTCCTTCTTGAACTGTGGTGCCCAGAACTGGACACAGTACTCCAGGTGAGGTCTGACCAGAGCAGAATACAGTGGCACTATTACTTCCCTTGATCTAGATGCTATACTCCTATTGATGCAGCCCAGAATTGCATTGGCTTTTTAGCTGCCGCGGCACACTGTTGGCTCATGTCAAGTTTGTGGTCAACCAAGACTCCTAGATCCTTTTCACATGTACTGCTCTCAAGCCAGGTGTCACCCATCTTGTATTTGTGCCTCTCATTTTTTTGCCCAAGTGCAATACTTTACATTTCTCCCTGTTAAAATTCATCTTGTTTGTTTTGGCCCAGTTCTCTAATCTGTCAAGGTCATTTTGAAGTGTGATCCTGTCCTCTGGGGTGTTAGCCACCCCTCCCAGTTTGGTGTCATCTGCAAATTTGATCAGGATGCCCTTGAGTCCATCATCCAAGTCGTTGATAAAGATGTTGAATAAGACCGGGCCCCAGACAGAACCCTGTGGCACCCCACTAGTCACTCTTCTCCAGGATGAAGAGGAACCATTGATGAGCACCCTTTGGGTTCGGTCAGTCAGCCAGTTACAAATCCACTGAGTGGTAGCATAGTCAAGACTGCATTTTACCAGCTTCTTTACAAGAATATCATGGGGCACCTTGTCAAATGCCTTGCTGAAATCAAGGTAGGCTACATCCACTGTGTTCCCTTCATCTACCAGGCTTGTAATGAACTCTGTCTTACAAGCCCTGCGGAAAGAAATCAGATCCTGCAGGGCCCTGGTCTCATGAGACAGAGCGTTCCACCAGGCCGGAGCCAGAGTTGAAAAGGCCCTGGCTCTAGTTGAAGCCAATCTAACTTCCTTAGGGCCCAGGACCACTAGGGTGTTGCTGTTTATGGACCTTGAGGCTCTCTGTGGGGCATACCGGGAGAGGCGGTCCCGTAGGTACGAGGGTCCTAAGCCGTGGGCTCAGTTTAATTGAGGGCTCTTGTTGTTTGTTTGTTTGTTTGTTTGTTTGTTTGACTTGGTGTAGTTTTTATTTATGTACTCAGTTCAAGATATGCTAATGATTAACATTATAATATTAGGATGCTATACAGCATCCTAAAAAGCAGAGACATCACCTTGCCAACAAAGGTTCATATAATTAAAGCTATGGTTTTCCCAGTAGCGATGTATGGAAGTGAGAGCTGGACCATAAAGAAGGCTGATCGCCAAAGAATTGATGCTTTTGAATTATGGTGCTGGAGGAGACTCTTGAGAGTCCCATGGACTGCAAGAACATCAAACCTATCCATTCTGAAGGAAATCAGCCCTGAGTGCTCACTGGAAGGACAGATCCTGAAGCTGAGGCTCCAATACTTTGGCCACCTCATGAGAAGAGAAGACTCCCTGGAAAGGACCCTGATGTTGGGAAAGATGGAAGGCACAAGGAGAAGGGGACGACAGAGGACGAGATGGTTGGATAGTGTTCTCAAAGCTACCAGCATGAGTCTGACCAAACTGCGGGAGGCAGTGGAAGAAAGAAGTGCCTGGCGTGCTCTGGTCCATGGGGTCAAGAAGAGTCGGACACAACTAAATGACTAAACAACAACAACAAATGATTAAGCAGCATTTAAATGCCAAAAATAAGCAAATAACATTTGGAAATATGAATGTGACTTTGGTTTAGGTAGAAAGGCTCCTGGAATTTGGGCTGCTCCAGAATTTCAGCAGCACCCCAAAAATTATTTGAAGGGTGCTGGATTTTGCACCTTTGTTTTCATATTTATTTATGGAGTTCCTTATAAGAAGATTTTTTTAATCATAGAGTGGGAAGGAGTAAGCCAGAAATCATCTAGCCAAACCCACCAATGAATGCAAAATGGCTCTGCAATGCATGATGTGATGGTGGCACCCCTGACAGGTGTCGGTTCAACTACCTCCAGGGCAGATCTGTCCCACTTCCAAACAGCTCTTGCCATTAGGAAGGTTTTCCTAATGCTCAGTTGAAATCTGCTTCCACACTGCTTCTTTTCTGCTTTTCCAGTCCAGACTAGAACCAATATACTACTTCTCTTGCCATGCAACTATCAAAGATGCACACAGGAATATAAAACGGCTAAAACAAGCCATCTGATAAACAATACAGTACAATGAAATGAAATGAAATGAGAAATGGAAATTTTAAAATGAAAGGAAGATAGAGGCAGCGGAAAATAACACAACAATTGTCACCTGGCTATAACAGAGAGAGGGAAGGGAAACAAGGCCTCTCCATGGTCTCAGCTGAGAAACCAACAACATTTCTCTGCTCCTTTCCTTGAAATCTTAAGCTGGTTGTTACAAGAACTCTGTTAGTTAAGATGAGTGATTGAGTTTGCCATTCTTCTCCTTCCTCCTCCTCTCTTTTCGTTTTGTGTCATGTCTTCACTATAAACTTGAGGACAGCGAATGTCACTCACTGCAATTTTTCTCTGTGTGTGGTTATCAACACACACCATGGATTATTTACTGCCAAGGCTTGCTCTGTTCCAGGTGTGGGGAAGCTTTGTCCCTCCAAATGTTTCTGAACTACAACTCCCATCATCCCTAGTTACTGACCGTGCTTGCTAGGGCTGATGGGAGTTGTAGTTCAGAAACATCAGGAGGGCCACAGGTTCCTCACACCTGCTGTAAGCATAAAGCAAAATGAAGTTGAGTTCAACATGTTAGACAGTCGTGTGTGTGTGTGTGTGTGTGTGAGAGAGAGAGAGAGAGAATATGGAATGTCTCCTGTACAAGTAAAGCTTAGACTCTCTGAATGTAGAAAAGTAGGAAAACACAGGAAAGGTTGGGCTAGAGCATTTTTCCTTGCTAGCTCTATTTATTGCATTTATTTATGCATTTCAGTTATTTATTGCATTTATGTCCCACTCCACTTATTTCTGAAAGGAGCTCAAAGTGGTTTATATGGTTCTTTGCTTCCTCCTTTAATCCCCACAATCACCTGAGGTTGGTTAGGCTGAGAAGCAGTGACTAACCCAAGACTACCCAATGAGTTTCATGGCCAAGTGAGGACTTGAACTCCGGTCTCCCAAAGTCTTAAATCGCAGAGTTTTCTAATTCCATCCTTCTCTATCCCTTCCTTTCTTCTTTTTCTTTTCCCTATCCTTTCCTCTTTTCTCCCTATCCTTTCCCCCTCCCTCCCTCCTCATAAAATATAACCCACCTGCACTTCCAGTATGAAAATGTGCCATTTCCAATGTACCACCTCATTCTGTTGTCTGTTTGGAGCTGGCCTGAATGCGTGAACAGGATCTGCTGGGAAAAAAAGTGGGGAGGGGAGATGGCACGTTCTAGATGTGTTTGGCTCATTCACACATGCAAGACTACACCTGAGGGTGCCATTGTCAGCTGCTGAACATCCACGTGCAAACTGGCCTAAGAATGGGAGTCTAACCCGGAGCCAGCGGGTCCTGGGTTTTTGGTCCTGTGTCCCTCCCAACACCATCGAATCGCCTTCTACAGAAGGCACTGCCCACTCTTCCTCACCATCAAGGCATTTCCCCAACAGACCAGCAACGGCTGCAGCTCAGAAGGAACCTGTCGCTGCATGATGGAGGCCCGGCAGGATCCATTTATCACCCGGCAGGCAGCTTTATTTTTTAAAAAAGACGTGAGAGTATATCAGGGCCAGGAGAATAAAACAACTCAACAAAGACAAGCAAACACGGGAAAGATGACAGCCTGGCGAGATGAAGATGTACAACTGGTGGGATCACAGGAAGGTAGAGGCAGTATTTGTGGGGGAGGGGTGCGTATCTGCTTGCTGGGGAACCAGCTAAACAAGCACCTTTCTTGAGCAGGTAAAAACTGACTCAATATGGGTCAGTTTCTAGGTTGCGTATTGGGCAGCCAATACTGATTTTCTGCTGCAGAGAGGTAGGGAGAGGGGTGCAATTTGCACAGTGTGAAACAATGGGTTGGCACTTCTGCCTCCACCCATTCCAAGCCACTTTGCACTCTTATTTATTTATCACTTATTTATTTAGAACATGTGTTGTTGCTGTTTACCCACCCTCCACTTTAAGGTCCCGGGGCAGGCTACAACAATTAAAATACAATATTTAAAACAATTCAAAACAACTTTCGATCACAGAAATAAGGTGGGTCCTAAAAATATTCACCGTGTGTGTGTGTGTGTGTGTGTGTGTGTGTGTGTGTGTGTTACATACCACGCCAATTTCTAAGCAGGCAGAGCCTCCAGAGGTTCCTGCATTTACCTAGGTTTAAATTCCTTGGAATGAAGCTCAGATGGTATCTTTATGATATATGGCTTTATTTATGCATATATACAACCTGAACATAGGAAGCAGGGGCTCGGAGTATTAACACTCCCGTAGATATTGCTCCCTCTTTATTTTATTTATTTGTTCACATGTTTCACAGCATTTATATACCATTTAATTGAAGTCAACTTTGCTATGAGAATTAAAATGCAAACAGACAAGAAACATAGGAGCAGACAAAACTGCCTTTTATTGAGCCACACCATCCAGCTTAGTACTGCCTGCACAGACTGGCAGCAGCTCTTCAGGGTTTCAGCCAGGGGGTGTTCCCAGAGCTACCTGGAGATACCAGGGATTGGATGTTGGGATCTTCTGCTTGCAGAACTGATGCTCTGCCAGTGAGCTACAACCCTTCCCTTTGTTGCCCATCAAGGGAGTAAATGGTGTGATAAGGGCCTACCAGGCAGAGCTGATGTAAGGTAATACTCCACATTTGGTTTTTTTGCAGGCTTGGAACAGTTCTGCAAATGAGAAATGATAGAATGCTGCTTATATGATCTTAGTGCCTAAGACTACTTTTTCCTATTCATTACAGATAAGCCATTGCCTCGAGGGATACCAGGAGGCATTTTTGGAATCCTGGGCGTCGTTGCTGCTGCTGCCCTCATTATCAGCGTGGCTGTGACTGTCTTCATTGTCTACAGGCGACAGCAAAAGGGCCGCTCTGACACCGACAATGATCTGTGAGTACCACACGCCCACCACAACCCCATGAAGGAGGAGGAGGAGGATCAACTTTGAAATTGCATGGGCCAATAAAAGGATAGGGCACCAATTGTGGAAGATGCTATTGCATTGGCATTCCCTGTATTGAGGAACCGTGTTAAGCACCTCTAATAGTAGGAAAGAGCTGTCCGTGGTGCTGATCTTCCATGACACAGCTCAAGAGCAACCTGAGGCCCCCATCAATGGGATGCATTTAGATCAGATACATCCAATGGAAATCTAGTGTAGAGGATTCACTTTTGCACTCTCTGGACCGCACTTTCTGCCCATTTAATTTCAACTCTAAGAGGCAAATAGCTTTAGCAAGTCCCTGTCCTGGGCTTGCAAGCCTTCATCTCATTGCTTCCCTTTTTAACGGGACCATTTTCTTAGTACTGGTAAAGAAAATATTCTTTCTTCAGAGGGCATTTGAACATACCTCCCTCTCTCCTCTGCCTTGCCTGCTGCTTCTCAAAGCATCCCTGGAGATGAATGGGGGTTCTAGGGAAAATGTTATTGTGCCAGGACAATGCATGGCCTGTCCATTTTTGTAAATGCATCTCACTCCCCACTTGAGCCCATTCCTGTATGCCAGTTATGCACCAATGGCATATCAGCTTTGACTCACTCTGTACGTGGAGCCAGTTTTATTGTGGAGACTCTGGGATTGCTTAATAATATTCTAAATGGGGGAAACCTATATCAGCCACCACTGTGCTCATTCCTTGAGAGAAGCTCTTTGCTGCTCTCCTCTGTTCAGATCTGAAGTGAGAGGGATCCAGTTCTAGCATCCAATGAAATATGGGCATGTCTAACGGTGTCAATTTGGGAGAGGCTGATCCAATGCAAGCAAAGAACTCAGCAGGAGGGGAGAAGATGGTGGATTTCTGCAGGGATATTTACAGAGACCTTTCACGAGCATCATAGGAGGTATCGGTGAGCACACTGCCACCCATAAGCACCACATTAGTGACCCAGCTGTAAGATGAAGGCTAGGTAAAGGTAAAGGAACCCCTGACCATTAGGTCCAGTTGTGGCCGACTCTGGGGTTGCAGCGCTCATCTCGCTTTATTGGCCGAGGGAGCCAGCGTACAGCTTCCAGGTCATGTGGCCAGCATGACTAAGCCGCTTCTAGCGAACCAGAGCAGCACACAGAAACGTCGTTTACCTTCCCACCGAAGCAGTACCTATTTATCTACTTGCACTTTGACGTGCTTTCAGACTGCTAGGTTGGCAGGAGCAGGGACCGAGCAGCGGGAGCTCACCCCGTCGCGGGGATTCGAACCGCCGACCTTCTGATTGGCAAGTCCTAGGCTCTGTGGTTTAACCCACAGCGCCACCCGCGTCCCTAAGATGAAGGCTGGAACCTCACAAAATAGACTTTCTGGGATGTTCCTGTGCCCTGCATTGTGTCTATGGCTGACCATTTTTAGAGGTTCAAGATGAAGGCTGGAACCTCACAAAATAGGCTTTCTGGGATGTTCCTGTGCCCTGCATTGTGTCTATGGCTGTCCATTTCTCTTCCTGCAGGATTGACCTTCCCCCCTCCCACAAACCTGCTCCCCCACCTCCCAAGCGGAAGCAGGAGATGAAAAGCCACCTAACAGCAGAGGATATCCAGGTACCTTCCCCAGTTGCTGACCATCCTCACCTGAAGCAGAAGGAAGCGTGGTTTCTCCAGCCACTTGTCAGAGTTGCTCTGCCCATCCTATCTGGGGAAGTTTTTTGGTGGGGAGTCAATTTGGTAGGATGGGTGTGATGAGGTAGGATGTGGTGAGGTAGCCATTTCCATAGTTCCTTTAAGGGATACTGTAATTCAGTTTGCAAATTTGGCAAGCAAAAGAAAATGGGAGGGATGAAATAGAATTAAGGGGGAAAGGGAGTTGGGGAGAGAGGGACAGAAGATAATAGGCAAATAATACGGATGGTCTACTGACAATATTTGTGAAGAGTTGCTAATCTGCCCTCTTGAACTTTACTCGCCCCAACAACCACAGGTCGTGCACTTGGACAACATGAAGGAGCCAGAGGAAGAGATCCAGAAGTTGCCACCACAACCCCCCTACTATGACATGGCAGCCACCGAGCCAACCCCTCATTCCGACAAGATGGTAAGGATGAGGACTACTGCCTGCCCACAATCTGGACCTTTCCATGGATCAGGGATGGGGATCCTGCATTCCTCCAGGCACAGCTGGACAACAACACCCTTGACCATTGGTCATACTGGTTGGGGCCGATGGGAGTTGGAGTCTGACAACATCTGGTGTGCAGTGTGGAATGCTGCTTCATATATCAGAGATGGGGAACCGGATGCTGGACTCCCAACTCCTATAGTCCCTGACCATTGACCATGTTGGCTGGGGCTGATGGGAGTCGGAGTCCAAAAGCAATTGGAGGGGAACTGGTGCCCCTCTGTGGGATGGGAATTGCGAACCATTTCAGGGCCTGGGTGGATTGACAGGGTATCAGCTTGGGAGAAAATGGTGATGGTACAATATGAAAGGAGAGCAGTAGCCCCTTTGGGATGCTGGACTATGCCGCGGGACCAGATAAGAAAGGGGTAGGTATTGGTCCAGAGTCAATGGCTGCTGCTATTTGCTGTTGGCTCTGGTTGCATCCCTCTTGCAGGACTCAGACTGTTGAGGAGGCCAGCTTGAAAGCAACAATGATTCAGGGGGGCTGTGTGGAGGTCCCCAAGGGGGAGCTTTGCCTGTGGGGAAGCATAGGGCTTCCCACTAGCCAGCATGCCCGAGACTGGGAAGACGTCCACACAGAGCATGGAGAGAGGGGGCGGGAGGGCTGGCGGATGCCACGGCAGATGGGTGATCTGTCAGCGGAGCGTGCTGGTGCTTGACTGCTAAATGAGGACAGTACTTCTTTTTTTCTGAAAGCCCTTGTATTGTATGAATCTGTTTCAGCTGCAGGCAGGAAGACGGTAAATGCAAAGCAGGAGCGACAGCAGGGAGATTAGTGGGGGGTCACCGAAGGCGAAGCGAGTTGAGTGGAGAGGCAGGCGAGAGGCCACTTCGGAGGAGGGAGAGGAATACAGAACAGGAGGGGGAAGGTGGCTTTTTCTCCCTAGCCCATCATGGGCTTGCAACACCCGTATGCAAGGGAGACCGCTGCTCGGCGCTTCCCAAAGCTGCACATTCAAAGCCCGAGACCAGCTCAGGTGGGCCCCTTGAGGAAGGTGATGGAGGTGACGGTGCACCCCAAGCTTTGTAGAAAGGTGTCATTCTGGCTTCTTCCCAGGTAACCCAGTGCCATAGATCAGAGGTAGCCAATGTGGTGCCCTCCAGACATTATCAGAACGCAACACCCATCCCTGGCCATTCAACATGGTGGCAGGGGCTGATGGGAGTTGGAGTCTTCAAGGTGGCACATGGGCTTCCCCTGCCCTAGACAACAAGCTTCAAATGGTGCAGGGGAGGGCACCGATTCACATGCCATCATGCGACTTGGTACATGAGGAGAGCAAAGAGCTGGGCTCTAAAGACTCCTGCTGATCCAGACCAACGGCCCATTTACAACCTGCTTCCCAGCTTCACCAACCAGATTCCGCTGGGAAGCAGAGCAAGATGATCATTCTCTATTGTTTCAACGCTAATGTTTCTTATTTGCGGGTACACTGCTTCTGACCCTGGAGCTTCTGTACGGTCATTCCAGCTATCAGCCTCTGACAAATCACTCCTCCTGTATTCATTTGGGTCATCCTCTGTAAAGCCATCTCAGCTCACAGCCAGCACTGCATCATGTGGCAGTGAGTTCTGTAAGCTACCTGCGCCTTTGGTGAAGAATCGCTTTGTTTTGTCAGTCCCAACCTGCTGCCCATCAGATTCATGGGATGACCCTGAGTTCTAGTGTTGTGAGTCTTCTTTTATTGCTATTGATTCTTTTCTTACTGACGATAATTTTAGAAACCTCCATCCTGTCTTCCCTTCCTCATCTTTTTTGGCTAAACGTAAAAGTCTCAAATAACTTTCCTTGTCCTTTACTGCACTTTCTCTACCTTTATGATATTTCATACAGAAACTGGCTGGGGACCAGTTTACTTGCAGTATTGCTTTACCCCACAGATACCCACTCAACCGCTTCAGTCTGCAGATTTGGCACTGTTGCAAGTGCCACATAATATCTATTCCGCAGTTGTAATAAATCGATCGTTTAGCGTGGCAGCTCCCTGCTTGTTAGGACACCCCATATTCATCTCATGGAGCTACAGTTCCCAGAACTCCCTGGAAAGAGGGATTGATTGTTACACCAGCCTGAGAATTTTAGCTCTGGGAGGAGAATAGGGGTCACCTGGTAACTCTCAGCACCCTTAGAAAATTACAGTTCCAAGAATTCGTCAGGAGAAAGCCAGAACTGTTTAAAGTTGTATCAGAGGCACTGTGTGGTGTGAACATGGCCTGAGCTTCCTGCACCACCCTCAGATTCTGAAATTGGACTCACTTCTGTGCCTTGTGTCTGCCTTGCTTGGGCTGATGACTCTGGACATTAATGCTGGTTGCTGTTTGATGTTGTGGTCAATTTGCCAGCTGGCTCCTTTCCTAGCAGACTCCTAAATCAGCAGGTCCTCTGAGTTGGCAGAACAGTCCCAGAGGCATGTGGCCTCCCTAGTCCCTGCCAGGCAGGGCGGTTCCAGAGTCAGGCCAGGGACTCTGAGAAAAGCAGATAAAGCACAATGGCAGCATTAGTATGGAGACAACAGGTGCCTGCACATTATGCGGTGATGCAGGCAGTGCCGCCACCTCCCCTTATCTCCTGGGACATAATGATGGCTGTCGCCAAATGGAATAAAAGTGCATGGCAGCACTCGCAACTCGGGTTGCTGATCTTTGAACAGATCAGATCCTTGGTCTGTTTAAGCCAGTTTTGTCCACTATAACTCCCAAAGTCTCGGGAAGAGGCATTTCTTTTGGGGGTGCACAAAATACACATTCAGTATGCCATCTGCAAGAGGGAGGAATCAGCAGACATGGGGGGGGGAGCTCAAATTTTGTAGAAGTGGGGAGGGGAGGGGAAGCGTAAGAGGAGGATAACCCCCAAAGGGCCCAGTGAGGACTGAGCATGTTCAGTTGGCGAGGAGTGTCGACTGATTGCTAGGGCTTAGGGAATTGGAAATCAATAAAGTGGGGAATGGAGTAACCTGGAAGAGGGTATGGCTGGCAGGAACTAAACAGGAGCACACTATGCTGCAGTATTTTGTTGCAGGCCCCTGTTGTATCAGTTTAAATCCAAGCACTGAAAACAAGCCCAAAGACTACACTCCTTGACTGACTGAGGTACAACAAGCCTCAGAATGGAACTGGGTCAACCTCATCACCGCAATCAGCACAAAGAGGTCAACTGTAAATTGGTTTTCTCTGATTGTGTTCCATTGCAATTGGGGTCAGCCTTTCCACCTGGTCTCTGGTACGGCCTGTGTAAAATCAGTTGGAGGGTTGTGGGCATCATATTCTGAACAAGGCCATCCCAAACAAGTTTTCTTAAATTATCTCCCCTTGCCCACCTTGCCTTATCATATACTTAGCAGCATGGCCCTAGCTCATTAAATGAGTGCAACTGGACCGTTTGTGGTGCTGTAGTTTATTTCTTAAAACTACATCACGCCTTTCCTTCCTTGGGAGGCCAGAGTGGCAAACACATCAAAATAAATTTATAAAAACAGTTTAAAACATTCTGAAAACAACTTCTTTGCACCTGATTCAGGGAAGACCCATCCCATTTTCCACCTGAAGTAAAATGGGATTGATGCCTCTGCCTTCAGCCGCCATGGCCCACCATGACTTCCACCACTGGGCAGGCATTCTGCAAAATATTGCCATTCCACTTCTCTACCCAGGGGCAGGGAAGCTAAGCAGCAACCTTTCGCTTGGCAATATATGAACTTAGCATGAGAAGAAGCAATGAGTGGGCTCTTCTCTTTGTGCTACCCCACATCCTCCAGAGAGAAGGAGAGAGTTGTAGGGATGGCTGATCATACATGAAGTTCCCTGATGACTGAAAACAGTGTGGAAGTAATGCTAAGGAAGGGACGCCCTTCACTTTTCCAAAAATGACTACTGCAGTGCCACCTCATTTAAATTTGATTTAGTCCAAGAATGTGTGAATGCACACCTGTCCCTTTGGTTGATGGTGGTGCAGAGCTGGAAACTTGTTTAGGTTTGGAGGTTGGAGGTGGGGACAAAATAGGGAGGGGAAGTGGTAGAGAGAGGGGAACCTGGAAAGAGTATCAGGGGAAGAAGAATAAATGGGATGGAGGGAGGAAAGAGATGGAGCTTCCATGGTAGAAATGAGCAATGATCTAAACTTAAAACTCTGATCAGGGGGAAGAAAATTATAATGAACAGAGAGGTTCTGGAATTCTGAGCCCAGAGGATAGGTGGCATTCTTCTGTAAGACTGGGGAAGAAATTTGCTCAGGGAACCCAAACTCAGCTGTCCTTTGACATCTGTCCTTCTCCCTATATTGTGACATAGTTTTCCATTTTAAAAAAATGCATACAGAAAAAAATGTAGCTTATGGAAAAGAATGTACAAAAATGCTGTACATGGGAGAAAATTGCTTAAGAAAAATGTGTATGATACCCCAGTATGGAACTGTGTATATTAGAGTGAAATGCACACAAAAATGGAGACAGATTTTCCACAGACATACTGCTTAAAAAATATAAATCACAAACTTCTGCAGAAGTGGACATAACTAATTTTAAGATTAGGAGAACAGGAAACAGGGAGGGACCGAAACTGACATTTTTGTCCAATGTTTATGTTCTTCCAGAATCAGGGTGGTTGCAGGGACTAGTTGCAAATTTCCATTGCATCCAATTCTAATTTGTCATTCCAGACCCTGCCCCCCAGCTAGACCCTGCCCCCAAACTCTGTCATTCTGATTACAGAACGAAGATGGATGATGAATCTGGTTCTCTTGCAGAGACAGGTCCTTGCAAGTCAGTCCTCAGACCCTGGGCATGCTCAGCGATATATTTTCCTTCCGAGCTGCTTCAGGGTGGCAGGTTATTATGGTCTGTCCTTCTCTATTCTCTCCCCCCCCATGCTCTTCCCCAGGGGGTACTCAAAGGTTTTTGCTGTTGTTAAAAAGTGTGGCACTTACTGTAGCAACTTCATGGTGAGTACCAGCGCCTATTTTTCTAGAAAAAAAGCACTGCCCCCTCCCATACCATTTTTCCCTCCTCTTGAGGCTCCTAGTGCTGATGTCAATGGGTGATGTCTTTTTATCTACTTGTATGTTGAAGATCTGCAGGTAGCAAGAAGAGAAAGCAGCTGAAGATGTGAGCGTTTTGTAATCTCACAGAGCCAAACTAAATGTAATCCTGGCAAGAGCTGTGTGCCCAGGCTGGATTGCTGTTGAATCCTTACCAAGTGGAGGTTTAAAGGACAGTAAAGGTGGTGGGAGCTACAGACCTCCCCCTCCCTTTTATTTAAAAGAAGCAGCACAATCCAAAGTGGACCCAGGAAACACCTACAATCCAGCCATCGAGAGCCTCTTACTTGCCAAATTCAGAGTTGACCACAGCCCTATGTAGACGTCCTGGCAGAAAACGGCTGCTGTGCACATTACCTGTCACAAGCAGGGTTTCCAAACTCTGGTGCTTTTCTTCTGGTTCACCACAGTGGTGCCTTAAAAACAGCTTCTTGACGTGAGGAAAACTCAACAGGTACAGTTTTGGTCCACTGCTGCACATATACGCGCGGGAAATCTTCCCCTGTTGAATTTCTTCCTCTCGGGGACTAAGAAATATATGGCAATGGGGAAGATGGGAAGATGGACAGGAGCGTGCTATTTAATCTCTCATCAGCAAAGGCATCCGAGTGTCTGCCATGTTAACAG